TTGTTGCTAAACTTTTTCGCTTAATTTTATTCATCGTTTTTATTGTTGTTGTTGTTGTCATTTATTTGTGGACTGCTCGTGTTGCTCTCCTTCTTGGCATACATGTCTTCTCCCCAGCCGGTTGCAAGAGGATTTATGCGTTTATCACACACACACACACACGCAGCCAAGGCAGATCTACAAACAAGCATCCGTGCATGCCCCGGTGCCTATTGCAGACAACTAAATGCATGCAACAGCGGTGTTGATTTACTGTTAGTCGATATGGAGGTGGGAAATTGTATTACAATTTGTATTCTTCTGTTGCTTTCATATTTGCGGTGAATTCGTGAATCCCGAAATTTCGGTATTACACATTTTAAGTATCGAATTTCGTCATTTTTAAATTATCCAATTTTTACGATTTAGCACTCTAAACAAGTTTAATATGTCTTAAAATAATGGAGTGTGAAGTCCCGAAATTTCGGGATTTTGAAAAGTACGGTTTTGGGATTATACATGTTTTCGCTGTATTCTAGGTTGCATTATTTTATTTATATATGCATTTAACAAAAGGATCTAGGAATCCCGAAATTTCAGGATTTGGAAATTTAAAGCTTCGGAATTATTAATGTTTTCATCGTATTTGGGCTATTTTAACTATTTATATATTTATTTATTTTTATTTTTCAAAAAGTCTGTGAATCCAAACATTTCGGGATGTTAAAATTTTATGAAAATGGAAAGTTCGACAAAATTTTTTACATTAAATTCAGACTATTTTACTTGATTTTTAAGGGACATTGGCAGGTTAATGTTTTATTATAATTTCAAGTTACTATTGCTGTTGTGCACACATCGAGTACTCTTGATCAGCTTACTAATAGATCTGAAATAGTCACACACATGTACCGCATACACACAGATGTACGGATATGCATGTGCATACTTGCATGTGTTATATGTTTTTAGGATATGTTGTCTACATTTTTCTCCTCTGCATGAGGCTAGTAATATACGAGTTGTACTGTTGCTTGAAGCCCGAGCTCAGCGTAGGTATAAGCACATTTTTTCTGATTTTTTTATGTTTTTATTTTATTAATTTACTAACTCCATTAAGCACCTATTGAATGACCCCCTGCTAATAAATACGGATTTATGTATATACATATGTGTATGCATGTACTATATACATATGTCAATATGTAATTGAGACACTTCGTAAGTAATTATTTTCTTGTTTAACTGAGTATTCAATTGAAAGTATAAAAGTTGTTGACTATTTCAAGGATTTATTTTGTTATAAAGAAGCCTATGCATGCTCCTTATCAGTTCTTCGCCGCCGTGTTTGAATAGCCCGACCGTCAATCCATCGTCCCCGTCGCTTTGTTGTTTTTCAGACGGTTAATTGCTATTCGAACTTCATCATGATCGAGCAATAGAACGTCTACTCCAACGTCATCGATTAGGGAATCGCGTACGCCATCGCCTGGCGTTATGTTTTCACTGCTATTGAGCAGGTTTGGAGAAGTTATTTTATCCATTATTTTAGTATGCTCTGAGCCTAAGTCAATAGATCACCTCTGGGAGTTCCATAAGAGTACGCTCCGGACTTGAAGCATCTTTCGTAGAATTTTTGAGCATTACCAGTGTTAGCGAGCTGGTGAAACTCTTTTTTATCTGCATATGCTTCTCGCTTCCCTCTTCAACTTTCAATTTACTTATCCAATAAATTTCCCTGACAACAATATCTTACTTAACTGCATCACCTTTAGAGGTATTTTTGTGTTAATTGCTTCCTCTGTCTATTACATATTTGCCATTTTTCGAGTTGTGACACTTTTGTAGTTAGGGTGCGATATTTTCAAGATATTCAGTCACAAAGTTCGATAATCTTCATTGAAAAAAAGGTTTTCATCATTCATATTTGTAGTATCCTCTTTTTGGATTTGGTGACATTGAGCACCTTTCAATATTCCTGCGGCACATCATGATTATGACATTTAAACTTTAGCGTATGCGATATATGGACCTTCGCCTTCGGAATGGATGGAATATAACTACAGTCTTCTACTTTTAAATCGGCACCCTTCCACGAGCTTTGAAGCGCCATTGCGGAGTTGTTTTAACATTTTTAGATCTTGACTTCATCGAAAGTGGCCATTTCACCTACGTGATTTGCTTAAATACCACCATGCTATTCCTGACCGCCCTGGATGTTAGAGATGTTTAGTGTCGCTCCCGATCGAGCCGGACGTTTGGCTTTACAGCGTCGTCCTTTTTCCTCGCTCATTTAGCTGGCCACGCTGTTTAGGGCTAACTTAATATACAGTAGTTTTGAGTTCCTAACAAATTTCCAGTATATGTATACCAGGGTGGCGGTTTACTGTTCTCACCAGATAATGTTCTCTGGTTCCCACATTAAGCTATCTGGTATGTTTTGCTAAAACTCTGTGCTTATTTTAGATTTTTCTTTTCAATATTTTTATTTTGGTATACGAATCCTCAAGAAAAGGTCAACAAATAGTATATTAACCCCAACTACGCAATACCAATTCAAAAAAGGTTGTCCTAAAAGCAAAGCAAAATGAAAATATTACAAAATAGACAATATATACATATTAAAATATAACGGTGCTGAGAGGACACACGAAGCGAACTTGAACTAGTCAACGCACATGAAAAGGAGCCAAAAGAGAAAGAATACTTTTAATTTGGAATAAAAAGTACAGAGAAAAGCAAGCAAAGTAGGCAAACAAAGCAAAAGCGAAAAGGAGTGAGAAATATAAGCACAAAAGGAATTGAGCAAACGCAAACAGAGCGCATAATATAGTATATTTAAATGATAGACTGGAGAGAAAATTATGCTGTACGTACATATGTATGTATGTATTGACAATGGTACGAGGGTGGAGGATAAACAGGAAAAACCGATATTGAAACGAACAAACAGGCGAAACCAGCTGATATGCGAGGACCATAAGAAAAAGAAACAGGAAATCGAATAAACGGCAACGGAAGCTCTGTGAGTCGGCGGCGAAGTGGTAAAGGCGGAACAATACGGTCGGTTAGCAGCACGCAATGACATTGAATTATAAACAAGAATAGAGGTGGTGGAAGAAAATGGCTTACGCACGCAGAAGCCGAACACATGGACAACAACAAACACTTGTGGAGTAGGACATGTATGGCGTTGTGTTAGCCGGCATTTGTGGGGGGAGGAAAGACAGCTGAGCGCACAAGGACAAGCTGTGTGCAGCTTAAAAAGGAAAACGAGAGTGCGCGCTCACTTTATTGCAGAGAGCGTGTAACGGAATTTCACATAAACGAGAGAGATAAAGGGAGTACGAGGCGACCTACCGCGCTGGGTGGGTGATAATAAAACGCCGTGGGCGTAATTGTTAAGTGTTGCAAGAGAGCAAAGATATTGTTGTTGTTGTTTTTACGAACGAGTGGAGCGCACATAGTAGCGTTTTGCAGGATATTCGATTTCGCTTTTAATAGCTGAGGAAATGCAGTTATAGTGTCTAAATTTAGAGGCGAGTAAAAAGTAACGACAAACAGCAACAACAAGCACCCAAAGAAAACAACAAAACAATGAATAACAGTAACAATCTTTAAACAACACCGGCAAAGTGGCTAATAGTAGCAAACGCCAACATAACGACCCAAACGCTCGGCTGTTTTTAGACGCCAGCACCGACTGTGCTTGCAAATGCTGCTGTGCGAAGCTTTGTGGCTTGTGATTTGCCGATTTTATTGCCAGCGTTTAATACAGAAGAGCTGTAAGCGCAAATGCCTGGCGGCTCTAAAGGCAGCAGCTCGTGGGCATGCCTTGCCCTTGGAGCGTAAGCGGTGACAAACGAAAGTAACTGTTGCTGCCGCCAAGTGTATCCACACAGCGCTAGCGAGCAAGAAAGTCCGCACAAAATTAAGGTACCAACAACAACAAATAAAGTCTTGATGTGCTACCGGCAGTTGAACGCGCTTACATACATCTAGTTGTTTATGTACTCCTGGCTGCGGTGTCATTATGTGGGCGCTGCGCGGAGCAAGCGGTCAACTGCATACTCAAATGCGCGCGGTAGACGCGTCGCTGCTGAGCGCTTACGGCCATAACTGCGCCGTGATTTATACAATATTTCTTTCGCCGCGTACACTTGTATTGGAGCATCAACCCCTTAACTGCAAAGGTGTGCTGTACTCATTGCTGCTGCTGTGCTGTGTAGGTTTTGTCCTGCACTGTTTAGAAAACATATGATTTGCTGTGGTTTTACTCTTGCTTTCATTCTGAGCGCAAAGGCCAGCAATAACGACGCATGCGCTCCACTTACACACACACGCGCGCGCCTCAGTATGCACAGTTACTTACAAATACCAGTGCGCCAGTGGTGACACAACGTAAAACGCCTACGTTACAATTTTCTCGTACTTCCCACTGTATAGGTGAACTGGGCGCGCTTGCTTGTGTGTGCGCGCGCCTTAGTATCAAGCAGATAATGTGTAGCAACAAATGCGCTGATAAGGCGCTCAGCAAAAGCGAGAAAAAGCAGAAGATGTCAAGCGGTGGCGGTGAAACTTGAACGCGTCGCTTGCGTTAGTCACACAACACACAGCGATGTACGCTCTCAGCTGACTCACATGTACACACACACTCGGCGCGCAACCATAAATGCTGCACGCATACAGTCATGTCGACTCGCAGATAGGCACTTCCGTCATACTTTGCCGCTTGCTAATCGCGCGTCCCACTCTCCCGCACAGGCGAAATTCTAACTGTACATGCTGCACGCATACTAGCATGCAAACACAAACACAGCTGTTTGCCACACATACACACACATGTATCATTGGAATCTGTTTCGTTTGCTCTCTGCGCGCGCTGCGCTCTGTCACTATGCGCTGCTCCACCTCGCTCTGCTGTGCGCCAGCTGCGACGCGTTTGGCTCGGTTCGGCGCTCGCTCACACATTCGCTTGGTAGCTCGTCTTTTTTGCTGGCTGTGCTCGCCTTTTTCTTTCCGGCCGCCACGGCTTCTTGACGGGTAAAGGCAAATTTTTGCGCTGTAGATGCAACATTCGAAAAACGTTACGCACGGTGACCGTTAGACGCAGTGACTCGCAGCGGATCGTCGAACAGGTCAGCTTAGCACAGTGTGGTGGGCACATATACAGGCTCCGCGTTTTTAGTGTTCGGTACAAAGCAACGCACTGCTCTAACCAACCAGCAATTGTTTTCTTAACGTCGAGCTGACGATGACGCGCGTTCGCGTTTCACTAATTCTATAGCGCGGTGCGTGTAAGAAATATTCTTTCGAGCAAATATATAAATAAATTGATTAAAAATATATCCGCTAAATTATATATACAGTGATGTGCGATGAAATAAAGCCATACATTTTCTGATGATATTATTGCGCTTAAATTTTTTTTAAGAATCTAACATGCCATGAACTAATTGTAGTTCAGTACTCACATCGTCTGTGTATATTTTCCCGTTACTTCTGAATTCAACTTCGAGTTCATTTTTAACAAATCAGTGAAAATGTGCTATTAATT